GGGGGGGGGGGTGGCAATCCAGGAAGGAATCTCTGCCCAGGGCTCAGAGAGATGCTGGGACATCTCTGCCCAGCTGTCCATCCTCACCTGCCTCCCGTCCTGTTGCGTCTTCCCCATCTACAAAGTCCCTTGGCATAAGTGGAACCCTTGGGCTGCTCTGTCTAAAACTAGCCCCTTGCCCGGCCGGGTGGCTCAGTTGGCTGGAACAGCATCCCATACACCCAAAGGTTGTGGGTTCGATCCCTGGTGTGTACCAGAGGCAACCGATGGATGTTTCTCTCCCACATCCCTGTTTCTCTCGCTGTCTCCCTTTCCCCCCCCCTCTCTAAAATCAATAAGAACATGTCCTTGGGTGAGGATTTAAATAAATTAATTAATTTAATTTTTTTTAACGAAACTGGCGCCCTTTACTTTCCTCCTCTGTCCCCGGGGCCCCTTATCTTGGTCTTGCCCTCCCCATTTCCTTTCCAGCCCGGGCTCAGCTCAGTTGGGCTCTTCCTTCGCTGTGGAGCTCCTCTGCCCTCACCCCACCTGCAACCTCTCCCCTCACCCCCTAAACGTTTCTGGGCTCCTCTTCTCCCAGGCTTCCCCTCCCATTCTCCCCCAGGGCTCTTCAGAAGAAAACCCACTGGGAGATTTACTATTCCTCGACAGGGCCATCCTGCACTTTCTAGGCGCTGGGGCAGCTACTACCCTGGGTGGGGGCAGGGCCATTCCCAGGCCGTCCTGAGCAGCCCCCAGCCCCTGTCCACAGCTCCCAACACCAAACCCTCCTCCCTCCTTCCTCTACCGCCGCCAAGCCCAAGATCTCCCCAACCAACTGCACCTGAGTTTGCAAGAAAAAGATTGGAGACTAGCCTCAGCCAATTCTGGAGTCTGGTCCCCCCAAAACAGACTTGATCCAGCCACCCAAGTCCCCAACTGCTCCATCTGTGAGCTGGAACAAGTAGCAGCTTGCCCGGCTCCTTCCTTCTACCAGCAGTTCCTGGGCACAAGCCCTGGCATTCTAGAAGCTGATGACCTCTGAACTTTCTCCATCCAGAAGCGCCCACTCCCCAGCAGGGCCTGGACGCAATGCGCCGGGGTCCGCGAGGAAGGAGCCCACTTGGGAAGGCGCCACACTCGGCGCACAGCCGCTCTGCCCGTCCCTCGGAGGTGGTGGTCCGTCAGAAGGGAGAGAGGCAGGAGCCCCTGTCCGTGGCTGCGAACCCCTCTCTCCTGCAAGCGGGTGGCTCAGTGTACCCCTCCGTGCAGTGGGGTGAGCAGCCTTCCCTTTCCCCAGGGAAGCGCCGCAGCTGCAGGGCCGCGGCGGGTCTCAGCCCGAGCGCCTGGGGCCGCGGGGCAGCCCGCGCGCAAAGATGGGAAGGCGGCCGGGG